GCGAGAAGATTACTCAAAATGTCCTGCACCTTGCCTTTATCCACGAAACTCAGCCTTCGAGGACCAAATTGGATAAGCTGATTATTCTTTAATGTGATAACAGCCTCTGCATAATGTTTGGGCTGCCTTGGGCGTTCTGGTTTACTATAAAATTCCATAAAAATTTTCTTAAATGCTACCTGATCTTCTAATGAAATTTCAGTATTTATATAAATCCGATCTACCTCTAAAGTTTGTTCGGTGTCGATATTTAATATTTGCATTACTGCTTTGTCGTATACACAGTTTTTACTTAACCGATATCCAAACAATTTAAGAGCATCTCGACCTAACAGCATCGGGGCACATATTACATTATCCGATACTACTCCAAACGTTATTACTTTTATTTCTCCTTCCAACTTAATTTTAGCTTTTACAATTCCCTCTATATGAAGTTTTGAATTGTTAATTCCGTAATAACGATTCCATTCGCGATCCGCTTTCTCCAAAGTTTTATTACATATTAGTCGTTTTTTTATTAAATTAATAGGACAACCGGTATCAACTCGAGCGGTACATGAAAATTGATCTATACCTTCCATGCTGCATTCTACGATTTTTTGATATTCATCTTTTAATTCTTCCGTCAGGTCCACTAAACAAACCTCATTTTGATCGTTTTCTTCCCTTGACTCCCCGGAATCGCTATTCTCCTCTTCATTGACGACTCCCACCTGCTTCTCGGTTCTACTGGTTGTCTTCGGGGGTATCTTCGACTTGGCAATCTTTCCTCCGGGCTGTGGCTCTTCAGCGGTGCAGTCCCTCGCATAATGTCCTGCTTGGTTACATTTATAGCATTTAACCACTCCTCTTGTTGTTGTAGTCATTTTAATCTTCATTGGCTCTTTGCTATCCACAATTTTGCGATCTACTTTCTTTTGAGGATCATTCCATGGGAGAGTTGTTGACCTGCGATTTGTTGTTTCGGTTTTTAATGTAATCTTTTTGAATGCCTTTGTCAACTCTTGAACGGATGAAAACGATTGCATTCGAGCCTGGTTTTGTAATGACTCAGATGGTATTCCGTCAATTACATATTCTATCAACTCATCTTGTATAATGGGAACTTTATTTCCCAGGATAAGTTTATCGTGACAATAATCACTGAATGCTTCGTTTGTTTTCCACGTTCTCGCTTCGAATTTACGACGTGAGTCCAGTTTTCCCAACGGCAGATTGAACATTGATTCCATTTCTCTCAACAGCTCGTTTGTATTCATAGACAAATGTTCCGCTTTTGAATGATACCACCTCTGTGCCTTTCCTCGTAATTTTGATCCGATTAATATTTTGGACGCATTTTCATTTAACTCATAAGTGTGACATAACAAGTTAGCTTGAGCTTTCCATCTCTGAAAATCTTCACCAGAACCATCATATTCGCTTAACAACTCTCCTACGTTTTTAATATTAATTGTCGTTCGCGAATCTACTGACGAATGACTATTTTGCGGCGATCCCCGTAGCAAATCGTTCTCGCGTCGAAGCAGCGCGATCTCTCTACTCATTAACTCTCTTTCTCTTACTTCTAGTTCGGTTTCTCGCCGAGCTAAAGTACTTGCCTGGCAATCCCGCTCAGCATTGTTTTCCTCTATGTTGTCCTCGGTCGTTTCCTCGAAAACATCCTCCTCTTCGTTGTCTCTGTTTAAACCTTCGTCAATCCAGCTTCCCGTTGGGTCCGCTTCTCTCAGCCTAGCAATCAACTCGGCCTTTCTTCCTGCTGTAGGCAACTCGTGGTGTCTCAGTATATTTTTTATTTGTTCCAGCTTGAGCTCGTTTAGATCCATTATGTCTAACAACTTTCGACTCGTTCGATGACGTGAATTTATTGCTTGAATTTTTCGCTCGCACCCAGCTGAGCGAGACCGTAATTTTCTGCTCGCACGCAGCTGAGCAAAATACGGTATTCGATATTACTTAACCAAGGCACGCCTTCGTTTCTCGACGTGCGTTACCACGCCTCAGTTTAACGTCTTACTCACTCCTTCCGTTACTTATCTACTTTCGTCGTGGTAATCCCACTTCTGAAAATTGTAGTCACCTTTATTACTAGAGATTTCTTACACACAGTACTCTACAATTTTCGTTCTTAC